AGCTTCTGAGACTTCAAAGCCCACCCCGCTAGTGACACACCTACTTCAACGTGGTCACACCTTCTAATAGTGCCGCTCCCTATGGGCCTATGGGGCCATTTTTATTCAAACCACCAAACCAGGTTGACCCTTACGTTAAGCTCCTTCAAGACACTTGTATCAAGGGAAAGGGTATTCCCTAAACGTTAGGCTAAAGGCATTTCCACCCATCCACCTAAAAAGAAGAAAAAGTCGGGCAATGGTGGCACAGACCTTTAATCCCAGAACTCAGGAAGCAGAGGCAGACAAATCTCTGAGTTTAAGGCCAGCCTGATCTACAGAGTTCCAGGACAGTCAGATACACAGAGAAACCCTGTCTTGAGAAAAGAAGAGAAGGGAGGGAGTGGGGGACAAAGGGAAGGAAGGAAGGAAGGGAGGGAGGGAGGGAGGGACGGAGGGAGGGAGGAAGGAAGGAAGAAAGGAAAAGCTGTCCCAGGACAAGAGAGCGTGTTCTCAGCTAGCATGGGCTAGTCCTAAGGGCAGTGTTAATGGTTTTTGTTGTTGTTATCTTTTTTTCAAGACAGAGTTTCTCTGTGTAGCTTTGGAACCTGTTCTGGAACTCATTCTGAAGACCAGGCTGGCCTCAAACTCACAGAGATCCACCTGCCTCTGCCTCCTGAGTGCTGGGATTAAAGGTTAATTTCTTAAACAATGGTTTTGGAGAAGGCCTTGGTATTGCTGCAAATCCTGCAGGTGGAATGTATGGAATTAGATTAACATGGTACCTAGGCTACTGTGTAACAGTTTCCTCCAAAAAAAAAAAAAAAAAAGAGTCGCTGTCATAAGGTGAATGCATGTGCAATAAAAATTACCTGGCCAACTTTCTGCTAGCAGCCTGTTAAGTCAGGCCTGGCAAAGACAGCAGGCAGTCACTCGGCATCAAAGTTTCGGCATCATGGTTAAGGTTACGTGAGCTCATACAGCGAAGCACAACTCAGCTGATAAAAACTTTTAAAAGTTCCCTGTTTCAATCTCTTGTGCCCTCACTCCTTCACAAACTAAGCAGGGTGTGGCAGCGGCTCAGACAGTTGCTATGGTGTACCGGGACCTCCGGGCCTCAAATAAGGAAAAACCCGAGTCGCAGAGACCCAAATGAGCAAGAAGGCTACAGTGGTTTCCCAGCATCCTCTGCACCAGGCTCAGAGGTAAGGGAGAATTGCATGCCAGGTTTTGCATCTGGGCCCTTGTGGGCTCTTTTGAACTCCGAGTCACATTTACAGCGATAAGCAATTCCTTACAAAAATCAGACTGTCGAGGTTGCATGGTTTAGTAAATGAAAATAGTTAAACCCATCCAAAACAAAACAACCAAAACACAAAAACCTTCTCGGTGTCTTGTGCAGGTCTGTAATCGGGAGGCAGAGGAAAGCAGAATTCTTGAGTTCAAGACCAGCCTGGTCTACAAAACAAGTTCCAGGACAGCCAAGCCTACAAGAGAAAAACCTGTCTCAAAAACATTAAAAAAAAACAAAAACAAAACAAAAAAAAACCATTGTTCTGTAAAGAATTTTTTTCCAAGCCAGGCAGTGGTGGTACGTGCCTTTAATCCTAACACTTGGGAAGCAGAGGCAGGAGCATCTCTGTGAGTTCCAGGACAGCCAGATCTACATGGAGAAACTGGGGGGGGGGCAGGGGAGGGCAGCAGAACAAAGCACTTTGTTAGGGACAGACAGATCAGACATTTTGCAGACAGGCCAGTAATAACAGACACAGGGAGAGAAGTGGAGAATTGAAATTTGAACTCACTCTTGATTAAACTATCCAAGAAGAAATTGCTTCATTTTCATTCCTTAATATATCTGACTTGTTCTGGTGCCTTCTCTGTGGTAAACTTTAATAGGTTAACTGATGCATTTGATATTAACATGATAACCTGGAGCTACGTCTCCATCAGATCGGCCCATAGGCAAGTCTGTGGGGCATTGTCTTGACTAATGATTGCAGTGGAATGCCCAGTCCATGGCCACCATGGCCTGTTTGAGTTCCAACCTCCAGTTCTTTGTCTTGGCTTCACTCAGTGCTGTGCAATGATCAGGTCATGTAAGACAAATAAACCCTTTCCTCCCCAAGTTGCCTTTGGTCAGTGGCTTTTGTTGCTGTTTCTGTGTTTTCAAGACAAGGTTTCTCTGTGTAGACCAGGTTGGCCTGGAACTCATGATCCGCCTGCCTCCTGAGTGCTGGGATTAAAGGCGTCCAACACTACCACCTGGTTCTGGTCACTGTTTTATCACAGCATAGAAAGCCAAACTAAGACAGTGATGATTAATCTATATTCTATAACTACTTCCATATTGATGATGGGCTTAATTTCTGCCTAAGAGGGACCACAAGACTTCCTATTGTATCTATTGGTTGAAGGGGAGGCTTCACATGTCCAGTCGTAGGAGTTTGCTGGGATCCCTGTGTCACAGTTCAAGAAGACACAAACCTTACAGGATTGAAATGCCAGGGTTATGTAGGAGTAACATGATTATGTCAATCAATGACCACACGAAGGGTGAGAGCAAGGAAAGCCATGGCCATAAATTTGTTTTAGAAAACCCATCCTTCAGAAGTACAATCCCTTGGATTGTGTTGCTTTGTAATCATATTGGTGACATTACATTAAGATTGTGGCTTAGAGGGCTGGAGAGATAGTTCAGTGGTTAGGAACACTGACTGCTCTTACATCCCAAGTCCAACTCCCAACACCCACATGGTGGTTCACAACCATCTGTAACTCAAGTTCCAGGGGGGTTTAATGACCTCTGTGGGCACCATGCACTCACATGATACACAGACATACATGTGGACAAAGCATCCATACATATAAAATAAAATAATGTGGCTTAATACAAAGAATTTGAAGAATCCGATGGTGAGACAGAATTAAAGAAGACAATCTTATATTGCACCACAGACTAACAAGTGTAAAAAGAAAACCAGAGTGCCAGGCGGTGGCAGCACACACCTTTAATCCCAGCACTTGGGAGGCAGAAGCAGGCGGATCTCAGTGAGTTCAAGGCCAGCCTAGTCTACAAAGCAAGTTCCAGGACAGCCTAAACTGTTATACAGAGAAACCCTGTCTCGAAAAAACAAAAAAAGAAGAAAAAGAAAACCAGAGACTGATGTGAGGCAACAATTACTGGTAGAATTTAGATAAACTACCTAAATAGTTTATTCTTGTCTTATAGCTGAAGGACCTGTGACTGTTCCATACAGTATCTCAGCACCTCATACACAGGAGCTAATGGAAAGCATATTTAAGAATAAATTGTTTATCCCCTTTAAAGTCTACTTTCGTTATGGTAATCATTTTAATCTTTGGGTATTTAAGATCATGCAGGTGCCCAAAATAAACCCCCCCACAGCACCCGTCCAATTAAGGCCAGTTGACAGTCTAGTCGTTAAGGGCTACCTGGGCTTAGACGTTCCTGGGCCTTTTTATTCTTTTATACCAGTAAGACCATATGCTGAGAATGAACTGAAGGCCATGGTTGACTATGGCTTCACTTAGAAGCACTGAGGACATTTCCCTCTATACTGGCCCTCCTCCTTGTAAATGTGGACTAGTAAGAGTCCATCCTATGGGGTTTCCATGGCATCTGAAAAAAAGAACAGATGACAGCCAGGTGGTGGTGGCACATGCCTTTAATCCCAGCACTTGGGAGGCAGAGGCAAGCGGATCTCTTGAGCACAGAGCCAGCTTACAAAGTGAGTTCCAGGGCAACCAGAGCTACACAGAGAAACCCTGTCTCAAAAAAACTAAATAAATAAATAAATAAATAAATAATAAGCTCTTATACAATATATAATATTAACATTATCTTGATGGGGACAGATTTTGTTTTTTAAAGTTAATTTTTTTCACCCCAATCACATCCCTCCCCACCTACTCTTTCCAGTTCCCCCTTCAACCTCCACCCCACCCCGACTTCTTCTCCATTTCTCTTCAGAAAAGGGCAGGCCTCCCATGTATATCAGCCAGCCATGGCATGTCAAGTTTCAGTAAGACTAGGCACCTCCTCTCCTACTAAGTCTCGACAAGGAAACCCAGTAGGAGGAAGATCAGGGACAGATTTTTAAATAAATCCTAACAATAAGCCTAACCTAAGCCTAACCTCAGAACCAGACAGAACCCCTAACCCTCAGCTAATCTTAACACCCTAATCCACCTAGTCCTCCAACCATAACCCAAACTCTAGACCCTAATGCCATCTCCTAACCCTAAACCTACCATAACACTAAGTATTGAATACACAGTGTTGGAAAAAGAGAGAAATCAAGAATGACAGATGTTTCTGGCCTCATCAGCTCGACAAGGCAGTAAATACCATTAACTAAAAAGGAAAAGAAGACCTGGCCTAATTAGAGATTCTATAACAAGCTGAGTTTGAACGGCCCACAAAATACTCACACAGAAAGGTTAAATATAGCTGGACTCCAGGTTATATCTAGTCTAGTCTAGGAGTTTGGGCAACACCAGCAGATTACACTGGTGTGAAGACTCCTGGTTCACCTAAAGATCTCAGCTCAGCGGAGCAGAGGGTACAATATTAACGTCAACCCTTGTAGAGGTGGTGTGTAGGCTGGCAAAATAGTTTAGTGAGTAAAAGCAATTGTCACCAAATCTAGAGACTGAGATCAATCCGAGAAGTTATCCTCTGACCTCCTCCACACGTGTGCCTAGTAAGCTTGTACATACCTACACACATATACACTCACACACATGAATAAAATACAGGTTTTTAAAAAAGATGAAGTCTGCTAAGACTCAATTCAAGTTAGGGCAAGTAATTCTTTGGCTCCTAAGAACAAAGCAAGGCCTAATGGAGGCCACGGTGGCTCTCTGCAGATGACAATCTCCTCAGAAAAAAACAACACAAAGGACTGAACCCTGACACCAGAGCTGGACCAAGCAGTGGCAGCCCCCGCCTCACCTTACCCCCTCTAAGACAGACATCACACTCTTTCACACATCACTCATTTCTTTAAAAAAATATTTATTGGGTGCAGTCTTGGGTGAGTCTGGCTGTTAGGGTGTCGCAGAGTAATCCAGGATGGCTAGTCTGGTCTTTCTTTGTTGAGAAGGATAATGAAGAACGAGGCAGCCCTTTGGCATCTAAGGATTGGCTGAAGCTGGGCTCTGGTGTCGAGGCCTTAGATGGGAAATTGCAGTTCTCAGTACCACAAGTTGGCAAAGTGTTCAATGCTCCAGCCTTGTCTAAAGCCAGCAGAAAGGCTTTGGGAACTGTCAACAGGGTTATAGAAAAGTCGGTCAACAAAAACCGCCAACTTCAACTGTGAAGAAGGTGTGTGGGGGACATGAAGAAGACACAGTGCACATGCTTCAGCACTAAAGATCACCGAGAAGCCTAAGGCACAAAGCTCTGTTCCTGCTTCTGATGACACTACCCAGAAATAAAAAAGTTCTTCCCCTTCAGTCCTCTAGATTTTGAGTTCTGACCTGCCTGAGGAGCACCAGATTACACATCTCCTCTTGAATGGAGTGCCTCTCTTGAGCCTGAATGAGGAAACCGTGGTTGAGAAGCTGCTGCACCCGGACCCCCTTCACCTCTGAAGACACCCTTTCTACCATGGGAATCCGATCCACTGCAGTCTTCTTCCAGCCTTCTCTCCACTCTAGATGTTCAACTGCCACCTGCTTGTTACAATGCAGATATTTTAACTTCTTATTCCTTTATAGTTTGTGTATATTGCATTAATAAAGTATTTGTGTGTAGAAAAAAATATTTATTAGGGTGCTATAACAATAGATAAAGCACTAAGCCAATGGCCAGGGCATCCTTTCAAAAGTGAGCACTATGTATAAGTAATTACACAGCTTCTTCAGTTCCTCATCGCCAACTGCTACTCCCAGTGACTGGAGGACCATTTCTTTCTACAACCCACCCAACAAGAAGGCTTATCACAGAAGAGTTCCCAAATGCATCTCTCTTCTGACCGGAGGAACATCTCCTCCAAAAGTTCCCATATGGTAGTCTCACACCAGCCAGCAGCTTTGTGTCCTTATACCAGATAGGGACAAACCAATCCCACTTCCGCAATTCCTAGCCGGATCCTGCACTCAAGACAAATCCCCACACCACGCTGGAGGAGGAGGACTAGTTCAGAATGCAGGAGAATCTAAAAGAAATTGAACCGAAACTCTTCATTAGTAAAGTCCACAGTGGCCTTGGTTCTTCCCGCTGGACGAGGCCTGCAGACCTTTCCGCTCTTCTTTCTGGCCGTCTCGCCTACAAGCTGGACCCGGGCTGACTGGGTAGCTGTAGGAAGGGGAGCAGAGAGTCAGAACAGAGTAAAAGCTAACATTATCCATGCAGTTATGGCTGCCCACACAACAGTCCTATAACGTCAATATTGTCATTCCCTCATGAGATTCAGAGATGCAATAACTTGCCAAAAGTGTTTAAGATCCAGGATTTGAAATTAAGATCCAGGATTTGAATCCAGGTCATTTAGATACAAAAACTACACCCAACTAGTATCTGTTTGTGGTCAGTGGAATGAACCAAGGCCTAGACAGCTAAGCTGGTTTTTCCCACCCCAAAAGCAGAACGAGGTGAGGACCTGGGTCCTCCTTCTTCCAGGGCAGCTGCCCCGGAGAGGTATGCTTAGGATTTTTCCCTGAGCGAGCTTCTCCCTACTCCCGGAAGTAGATATACTGAATCCATCACTTCCCAGTTCCTCACCAGTCCTTAGGGCCTTCAGGGCTTCCTGCCATTCTGCATCCATTTGAGCCCTGTAGTCCCCAAACAAGGAGCGCATCAGTTGTCTCTTCCGGGGCAAGGGGGTTTTCTCACTGCGCAAGGTTCGGATTGCCCCAACTGCCTGCTCTTCTGCAGATAGAAATAAGGAGCTGGTAACTTCATACACACTCCCTATCGTCCTAGTACAAAAGCAACAGTTCCATCCCCTGGCAACGCCATCGGCCACAGCACGGTCACCGGTTACACTTCCCTAACTATAAAGAAGGGGCTCTCACTCTGCTTCGGGGTGGGTCTCTGCGTCTTGAGACCCAGCTCCAGCTGTTCCACACACCAGGCCAGCTCCCTCGCCAGCTGCTCAGCCTGTGAAGGAAAGAGGGGTGTGGCTGTGATAGGCATCAGGATTCCGCAGACCCCCGTCTCATCCCTCCAGCGCCTTAATTTCGCTCACCTAGACCACACTCGCAGGCGGGCCAGAACCCAGAAAACTCACAGGGAATCCCAACCTCACCTGGGCCTCAGCACTGGGGGGAGCTTCCTCTGGAACAGGTTTCTCGGAGGTCTTTTCGTCTCCATTTGTCCCAGAAACCCTATTCGGGATTTTCTTCTTCTTCTGCTTCATCGACACTGTATTGCCTACGGGACGTGCTCTGGTGGCGGAGTCACAAGCAGGTTGCACTGAACTGAGAAGGGGAGGGTCTGAGGCACCGGAAGCCGGGCGGAGGAGCCGGGGTCTGCGCGGAGAGCGTTGAGTTCTCCGGATTGAGGTTGCTGGTGTCTCCAGTGCACGACGCCCTAACTCCTAAAAACGTGGGACAGGACGAAATTCACAAGGACCCCACACTCAGGGCCTCGCCACAACACGCCTTCTCCCGCAGCTCACCGCCATGCGCCGTAGCGTTTACCGGAAGCTACGTAAGTCCTAACAACGCAGTGAACTCAGTCCTCTACAAACGCGTCTACGGCACAGAGTTCCGCAGCGGACCAGCGAGCAGAAAGCACTCGGTGAACCGAACGCTCCAGGCTGGGCGTGCAACAACTCTGGGAGGATGCAGAGAGCGCAGGGACGAACGTGGAGGCCTCGGAGAACCCAGCAGACTGCACCCACGAGAAACCAGTCGGACACGCGGTGAGATAGGAATGGAATATCTCTCCCCTCTCTGTCCCCCCCCCTCGGGGCGGGGCAGGGCAGAACGCCCAGAGGCGGGGCGGGGTTGGGCGGGGCTAATTCCAGTTCCAGGAGATCCAAGGTGCAATTGACTTATACAACTACAGTAACGTGGAGATATTGGAATGTTGAAGATCTTGTGGCTAATTACTTTATCTTGGACTAGTTCTAGAACAACCATTTCTTGCCCAACTCTGTGTCAAAACTAACATCTTGCTGTGATTAATAGGTTAAAAACCTTTTAGAGGGCTGAAGAGGTGGCTCAGTGGTTAAGAGCACTACCTGCTCTTCCAAAGGTTTTGAGTTCAATTCCCAGAAACCACATACTGGCTCACAACCATCTGTAGTGAGATCTGGTGCCCTTTTCTGGTCTGCAGACATACATGCAGGCAGAACACTGTATATATAATAAATAAATCTTTTAAAAAAACTTTTAGAATCTGTTAAATTAGCAGACCACTAATTTCCACCAATCCCAAAGTTCCGATAACATCTTGGACCTATAGAAATGCTTCCCCATCGCATTGTAACTGACTCTCTGGTGTACTCACCGATGTATTCTAATTACCTTGATTTATGACTTTCTTTGTTCTGTAAAACTAAGATTTCATGAGATTGTTTCCACATTGGAACATGGATTTTAGGATTACCTAAATCTGTGTTCCTGGATCCTCAAAATCTCTCCAGAACAAACCATCTCTCATTCCCTTTTACTGCTGTGAGCTTTGCTTCTCCAAGGCCCTTGGCAATTGGTTCATTTCTTCCCAAACCTTGAGGAACAGCCTGTGACTACTGTTGTATGGCATCTCCCTCAGAATCCCAGACAGGATGGAGAAAGGAGGCTTGTGAGGCTCTGGATGAAAACAAAAGGTCTGGGAAAACAGAAAGATTCTTGCCAGCTGTCTAAAAAGGGGTAACAACTGCTGGGGGAGGGAGTCTGACTATCTGGATGTGGAGAGGGTTCTCAGACTCTGAAACTGCCTGCGGGCTGTGCAGAGAGCTCCAGGGCTGCACTGTGGAGCCATCACCCAAGCTGGGGGTGGGATTTAACATGGTCATCCCTGCTCCTTATAAGTGACCTTTCACTCATATTCCTGGTGGTAACTCCAATAAAAGTGTACTGGTTCACCAAGTTGGACTTTTGTGCAGTGGTTGCTTTGGTCCATAATGGGTTCCCTTTCTGGAGTGCGTGCATGCGTGTGTGTGTGTGTGTGTGTAGGCCAGAGGTCATTCTCAGTTATTCCTCAGAAGGAATTCACTTTGTTTTTGTTTTAATATGTAACTATGTCTTAAGAGTTTTTTAATCGCTGTGAAGAGACACCACAACCATGGCAACTCATAAATGAAAATATTAATTGATGTGTCTTCGCCTACAGTTTCAGAGATTCAGTCCATTATGATCATGACGAGGAGCACGGCTGCGTGCGGGCAGATGTGGTGCTGGAGCTGAGAATGTTACATCTTGCCGGCAACAGGAAGTCAACTTGACTATCACACTAAGTGAAGCTTGAGCAAAAGAGACCTCAAAGCCCGCCCCCACAGTGACATACTACCTCCAACAAGGCTACACCTCCTAATGGTGCCCTTCCCTTTGGGGACCATTTTCTTTCAAACCACCACAAACTACATTTTTACTCTTTTTTAAATGAATTTGTGAGTGTGTGTGCGGAATGTGTGTGTGTGTGCGCTCATATATACCATGGCGCACAGGTAGAGGTCACAGGAAGATTGTAGGGAGTCAGTCCTTTCCACCATGTGGATCCCAGGCCTCGAACTTGAGTCCTCTGACATGGCAGCGGGTGCCTTCACCCACTGAGCCATGTCACACCACCCACCTTGATTTTTGAGACAGGGTTTCTTACTTGGATGTAGGCTAGGTCGGCTTGCCAGCAAGCCTCGAGTACACTAGTCTCTACCTCTCCTAACACTGAGATTACAAGCATGGCACTAAACCCCATAGGTTCTGGGAGCCACTGCAGGGTCTCGTGTCTGCACCTTACCCATATAGAGTTAGTTCCCCAGCCTCTGATTGAACGATTTGAGACAGGGTCTCACGTCCTGAGGGTAACCTTGAACTTCTGATCTTTTTTTGATCCTCCTGCCTCCACCTCTTTGATGCTAGGATTACATACAAGTGAGTTTATGAATTCTGGAGATCTAACCAAGAGAAAGCTTTGTGCATCCTGGGTATGCATTCTACCAACTGAGCTCCATCCAGACACACTATACATACATACGCGAATGCATGAGTTGAGAGAGAATGTCTCAGTGTGTGTGTGTGTGTGTTTGTTGTTGCTAGTCAAAAAATACTAGCTTAGGATAAATATGTTTGTCTTTATAAATAAAAATAATTGTAGAGTACACATTTGAGAATGAAGTCTTTCCTTTTTTGTTGGTTTTCTGAGACAGGGTTTCCCTGTGTAACAGTCCTGGCTGTCCTAGAACTCACTCTGCAGACCAGGCTGGTCTCCAACTCACAGAGATCTGCCTGCCTCTGCTTTCTGAGTGCTAGTGCTAGGATTAAAGATGTGCACCACTTGCCCACTTGGCCTAAGTGTTTACTTTTTGATTTTTTTTATTTCACGTTTTGTATGCATGTGTGTCTACTCAGGACTTGTGTGCCTGGTGCCCAGGGAGGCCAGCGCTGTAGATCTGCTGGGACTGGATTTACAGACAGTTGTGAACAGCCATGTGGGTGTTAGGAATAAAACCTCCAATACCCTGGAAGAGCAGCCAGTGCCCGTAAGTGCTCAGCTGTGTCTCCAGCCCCTTTGTTTACTCTTCTTCACTTTATAGTCTGTGATTTTCCAGGAAATTTTTATAAGATTATTTAGTCAGTATTTTTGAAATCCCAATAGATCTTTTTTTATAGAGTAACAATTTTTGTCTAATATACCTATAAAACGAGCATATAATCAGTTTTTGTAAATGGTCTATGAACACCTCTACAAAACAATAAACTACTACCTGCTTACGGAATTTGGTATGTTTTTTTCACTCACCTGTCAAATTGTTGGTTCGTTCTTACGTGTTTACGTTTCAATTTCCAGTGTGAGACACTGAAACTGTGGCCTGGCACACACAGGTAGTCGCTCCGCCACTGAGCTACACCCCAGCTATGTTACTTTAAAATCAAGCTACAATCCATCCTAATTCTTGGAGCCTTTGAATTAAAATCTCCCATTATTCCGTTATCTTTAGTTCTTGCCATGCTTCTGACAGTATCCTCTTACTAAGTTGAATTTCGTTGTGTGCTCAGGTCCTTTAGAACCGCTGTATCAGTAAGGGACGCCGGACGTGTTCACAGGGTATAGCTTTGAACCATCGAGTCGCCAGAGTCGCCGGACCTTCCTGGGTCTAGAGCGGCCATACGGTGGGGCACGGGGCGGGGCCGCGGCCGGAAGTCGGGCGGGATTTGGAGGGTCGGTTGCGGTTGAAATAGGCAAGCACGGTGCCCAGCGCGACTCCCACGGTGAGTTAGTTCCCTAGGCGAAGCCTCGGCTTGGGAACCGTCACCTGCTGTCCCCAATATCGCGGCGGCGGATGGCGGGGCTGGTTCGAGCTGGGGCAGAGGCGGCGTGGGAGGGTTTGTGAGGAGGTGTGTGAGGGATCGTGATGGAGCTGGGTCGGGGGAGGGACTTGACAGGTGTGCAAGGAAGATGCTCCGGACTTGGGAACTCAGTAAACGTTAGAGAAGAACACAGCCCGGGGGTGCGTTGGTTTAGCTTCAAGCTAGGTTTTCTGTCCTTGGTGCCCAACGGTGGTGGATCGATCGGTGGAGCCGGTTCCGAAAAGAAAGGATTTTATAGCTGTTATGGTTCTTCTGGGGCGGGGGCAAGAGGGGAGTCCTGCTGAGGTAGTGTGCTAGTGGGTCTTTCACTTAGCTCAGCCTTTCGCCAGGAAAATTTGCTTCCAAGTTTATTCAAGCCATTGGCAAGATCGATTGCTTTACGGGTTCTACACAGAGGTTTGTATTTCTTTGGTGCGTTCTGGCAAGAGCAGCCGCGTAATTCCTGGAGATTCCTAACATGGCTGCACATCTGGGGACTAGCATTGATTTTTCAGGGCTTTTACATGTTAGTGTGATTAGATTGAGCCCACAAGGGTCATCCTGTCCATAATCCTAACTCCTCCTGCGAAGGCTCTCATACCATGTGGTGGAGTTGTATCTACAGGTCCCAAGGATTAAGGCATGGCCTACCACAGATTAAGTATATGACTGCTGGATGAGATAATTAAAGCAAGTGCACCCTTTGGTATACTTGATAACAAAAAGGATCAAGAAGTGTATAGAAACCAGGACGGGGAGTTTGCTCATTACTTCTCTGCTCCTGTGATAAACACCATGGCCAAAGCCGCTTATGTAAGGAGGAATTTATTTTGGCTTGCCGTTCCAGAGAAATAAAAGGCCCATCCTGGCAGGGAGACATAGCAGCATGTATCAGGCTTGGCAACCAGAGCATGAAGCTGAGAACTCACATCCTCAAATGCAAGCACAAAGCCAAGGCATGAACTGAACGTGGAATAAGGAGACGTATAGTCCGCCTATTCCCCAGTGATGGGCCTCCTCCAGCAAGGCTCCATCCCCCCAAACCTCCCCAAACAGTGCCGCCAAAGACCAAGTGTTTTCAAACCAAGCCTGGGGGACACATTTCTCATTCAAACCATCACAAGAGGTTTTGTTCTTCTTCTCCTGGCACAGAAATATGAAGTATGCCGTATTTCATCAGGCAGCCAAGGCCTCTTTGCGTCTGTCCCCACTGGCCATCCCTCTGAGCTCTGTCCTTAAACTTGCTGTCTGACCTCACTCCAGCAATGTCCAACCCTTCTTCCTTCTCAGCATCCCACCGCTGCTCCTTGCACCATCCTCCCGCCTCTCTTCTTCAGAGAAGCCATTGCTTAGCTCCTCTCTAGACCGTCTTCATGATACATCACTCCACAGGTGACCCTGCTGTTGCCTCCTGATAGCCTCCTCAGCTTTCTCTTGTCCTGAAACCCAGCA